ACTAAAGCAGTGAAACGCGATGAGTCGCCATATTTTATCATGTCTATACTGCAATTCATGCTATAAACCATGATTTTAAAGGAAATCCGAAAGATCTTCTTGGCAAACAATTTTCTGAACTGCAAAGAGGTTTCCTTTGATATTTTACCGATGTTTATTCAATTTCAAGGTAATTGCATTCACAAAAAAAAATATTTGCACCTTCACGTTTTTCAATTCGAATTGTAAAAACTTCGTTCAATTGTCTGAGATAATTGCGTCAAATGATCATGAGAAGGATAAAGTTGAATGCGTTCGATTATAATAATAATAATCCACCACAAGAACAACCTCTGAAGTGGAAGCCAAGGGGCTTGTATTTTTCGATCCGAGATATGGAAGGAAATTCTTCAGAAAAACTCGAGTGATAGTACTGTAAATTACAATTAACCAGTTGTGTTCAAATAAAATTTCTGGCTGTTTTTTTGATAAAATATCGTGCCATTTCTGGAGATATGTGTAACAATTTCATATCAATCGGAGAACAATTCACGTATTAACGAATAAAATTTCCAGGGCCAGCCCTAAATTTTTTATAACGGATGTCCGATTATCCAAACAATCATCAATTTTCCTAACTCAAATACTGATTAATGAATAATTCGAAATTTGACTATTTAAATTCAGTAGGGAAGCGGTAAACCGGTTCAAGTCGATTTTGACTATTGGCCAGTTTGCAACGAATATCTCAACATCTAGGGGAGATAGCAACATTTTTGTTATGACCTTTTTTGTAGCCTTCAATTCGCTCTACAAAAAATGTCATATCGAAAACTTTACTATCTCTCTTAGATTAGGAGATATTTATCGAAAACTCAACTAAGGGCTAAGTCGACTTAAACCGTTTTACCGCTTCGCTACTGAATTGATGATTACTTCAATAATTAAAATTTAAGAATGATATTAACTAATTGACTACTTAATAATTTAACGGTAATTATAGTTTATGGATATGGATATCCCTGAAGCGTCCATGGCTTGACTCATTTTACAGAATTCTTTTTGAAAAGCGATTTGTCCTAAAAAGATTAAATCGACACCCTAATAACTGAAAAGCGTTAGTTCTATAAAATTCCCTATCTAGATACGCTTGTCTTTTATTAACGTGCCGATATATTTGTCTCAAGAAATTGGTTTTATGATATGGGGTCCTTCTATCTCCCAGTGTAACTAATTTCCCTCAAACTCCGTTAATTCTTCCCAATTCCAAAATTTAAATCGATTCAGTGAAATAAATGTTCGTTACTATAGCATGGAACTGGTTTGGTACCAATAAAATATGAGGAAAGAAAGGAGAGAAAAATTCTCATCTCGGGAATTAAATTTTTTTCAATAAAACGCCGAAAGGATTAAAAATATATATACTCGCCTACAAAGAAAACTTCAAAGAGCTGAGAATTGTCGAACACATCGTGAACACCACTAAATCCTCGAATTTATTAGCCTCAACCGAACTTTATTAGATTCTCACAAAACGATTACGTAGGTGTACAACAGGTATCGTCAGGTAAACCAGCTACCGTCCGGCTTACAATTCCCCCGCTACAATGATCAACGTAAAAATATTCCGAGTCACCTGATATCATCACCTGAGAGGTCGTTTCCACTTCTTTCATCTCTTACGATTTCTCCCTTCCTCCATTCCCTCCCTTTTCTCCCCGCGGTTTTACGGCGTACACTTCTCGTGGGTGAAGTCGTTTAGTCTCCGGAAAACCGCATGAATCCCCCTTCCACGACACGTGCCAGGTTGTCACGAATGAGGTGAAAAAAAACTTGGAGGAAATTAAATGAGTAAAGTAAGAAGAGAAAATTGACCCTTTTAGAAATATCAATAGGGTGAATCGTCCCGTGTTCGAACGAATAAGGTCACAGTTATTTTTGACGTAGATTTAAAAATATAACCAAGTCGAAAATTGATTTAAAAATAATTATAACTCCCCTGTACATCTCCATGGATAATAGAAAAAAATATTATGGATATTAATTGACGATACGGCGGCGTGTCATCGAAAACTGTTTTCTCCGCTGGTAATAAGGTAACTTAGACATTTTCAATCATCACAATATCATTTGGAAATGTCATAATTTTATTTTTCATGTATAATGCGAGGCATCTCTACCTTCTACTAATTTATTTTATAGAAAAAGTACCAATTAGTTCGATTACTGGTCTGGTTCGAACACTGGTTGGTTAACCCTATGTTTTAATATTGTGAAGAATAATATCTAGCCATTGCGATAGTTACGAATAAACAAAAAGTTAGTCTCACACTGTGATAGAAAGGATTAGTTATTGCGCGGATATGGTTGGAGATGCGGTCTATTCGGTCTCACCAAATGTTCATTCGTTAATAGTTAACAAATGCACATTTGAGGGGCTTTGTTTGACTCGATTTTCACTTTTCAAGTGAGCCATTCGTTAACTGTTAACGAATATTCATTTGGTCACATTCAACTCTACCATTCGTTAATAGTTAACGAATCTCGTTTAGAATAAATGAATCAGTCTATCAGTGCATTTACGGATATGCGCATAACAACAACAATCAATGGAAGTTATCCCAATTGAAGTTGAAGAACGTAATGCATCGAATTATTAACAATGTTCCTCTTTCCTCGATCTTCGGCGAATGCGATGCGGAGACTTGGGGGAGGGAAGGGAGAAACCGCAATTGAGGGCGAAACCGAATCAGTTATAGGTTCAGGTTCCTGTGAGACGTCCGCTCGGACCATGAAACTGAGAATTGGAGCGGCACAAATTTTGGCCCCATGGTGTGATCAAATCGCCTTCGGCGACCGCTACATACCTCCCACACTGAGAGAAAAATATAATTCTTCTGACTATATTCCATCACCATCGAATTATAGTCAAAAAATCCTCAACAATTTATGACAGATAATTAGAGGGAGTTTTCTCCATTTTAGTTGAAAATCGTGATACGTCGAATATTAATTTCTCGCTAATTATGCAATTATCTTGAATGTGAGGAAAAATAAGAGAAGCCTTTTTTTTAGTACAGAAAATTTACTACAGAGAGTAAATCTCTCTCTCCCTCTCTCTCAGAATTTCTACCCAAGAACATGGTTCACATGATGGGACATGTCGACTCTTTGCATTTCACCACTTGACAGGTTTAAAGAAGAATACATTGTGGAATTTTAATACTGTGAAGGCAGCATAAAAAATACTTGCGTGAGGGCTAAGGAGGTCGGCTGGTTACGACTGCACTTAAAATGTGTCGTTTAATGAATATTAATTATTTGTAATTGTAAAATACTAGTCAAAATTTTATTCCTCGAGAATTCATTCAAGTGGTAACTTTCAGTAGATATTCATGTTATTGATCTATATCTTCATTGCGAGTTCATTCATATCCGAAAGGAAATCATTAAATAATTTTCAATTGAATATTTTCGTAATATTTTTTTACGATCAATAAAAAATTAATTTTACTGATCGTAACGACCAAAATGCCTGTCAAACGCCTGAATAATTTCAGAAAAGATGGAGGGTATTATGATTGTGGGTATTATGGGGTGTCAAAAATCCGAAGAAAATCAAGGCTTGTGGTTGGTGCATCTTGAATCCATGCATTAAATTTCGAACAACTAATAAAACCCGCTTACGAGATTGTCTAATAGTAATTTTTGGAGTTTTACATGGGCTCTTATGGGAAAATGCGGTTTAATTTTCACAAAAAATAGAAAGAAGCGAAAGACTTGTTAAACTATAATTTTTTAATCTTACATGTATCTGTTCTGAATTTTCAATAAAAATTTTTACAGCAAACTGTGGAAAATATCTGTCAAATTCGTTGAAAACAATTAACAAGCTACAGGGAAATTGCCAGTGTGAAACATGTCACATGGCCCAGAATACTGCACTCTGATTGGTCGAAATCAAAACCGAGCAAAGTCTCACTGAAATTCTGATTTGAATGTACTTCAGAGCATCGGAAACTTGCATTTTGCTCGAGACATGTCACTATTTTTCAGGCACCCATCTTTAATTTTTAGAAATCTATCATCAAATTTCCGTGATAGAGATCACTCAATGTCCAGCGTCTCCGATCATTAAAAATCTTTTTTTTTTCTTATGGCAATTTTTCTACTACTCCCGGCCATTATTGTCGTTTTCAGCAATGTTAAAACTCCAAAATTAAATTACTAATTCATTCCTCTTTCATTTGCCAACGTTTCGAGTGTCCAATCTCATTCCTCTTTAGGGCAATCTATACGGAGAGAAATTTTTGAGAAAAATTCTAGTGCTAGCACGGTAAAAGAGGGGCCAAGTGACGGCCAGGGAAAAATTCCAGTGCTGTTCCAGTGAATTATTCCCCGTATTTCTGTAAAAATTTCACAGAAATCCCCAGATATCTTACCAGAAATTCTGAGAAATTTTACCTTAACAGCACTAAAATTTTTCACAACCAGTGGATTGTGATTTTTTTTCAGTACTCATACTAGAATTTTTCTAGAAAATTTCTCTCCGTGTATTAATTTCCATCTATTTTACGAGAAATTTCCCTCCATTTACTCCAAAAAAAAAAATCTATTCACATAAGCATTGCTGAAACATCAATCAAAGCTTCACCGCCATCCTAAAAAATGCATAAATAAATGCAATCCCTCTCCTCCCACTATTTAAAACTTTACTACTCAATCACTACGTCTTTGTTTAAAATATTCCGTCAACTTAAATAAACATGACAATAACAACACTAATAATCAGAATAGTCATTTTATTTTGTGTTGATGTCTCAATAACGAGATTTAGTCCGAATGATAAAACGTCGACAAAACATACTAAGATTTGACAGGGAGAGATCAAACAAAAATTTCTAACCCCGTTACAACCTCTACCTCTCAAAATCCACCTCCCACTCGAATGCATCCAACCACACGAACCATCCACCTTGAATCCTCTTCAAACCCACATAAAAAACAGTACGAACACTCACCGCCAGAAGTGGGGCACATAACCGGTGGGACACAGCTCTCTGCACTGCGTGCACGGTGCCCCCTGTATGGACGCCGGCACCAGCCCCACGGGCGACGCGGAGCTCTGTCCAGCCGCCAACATTCTGAAAATAAAATCCACAAAATTCAATTTCTCCCTCAAATTAAACTCCAACCCTCAGCTTCAAACACATCTCTCCCCGCAAATATAAAACGCCTGCATAATTCTAGGGTGATTGGAATTAATTAAGACGCCGGCGTTAACGCCAAAGTGGCAGTTGCGTTTTTGAATTAATAACAAGAGCGTATAATTAACGCTGACGCTTTTAGCCATTATGAAAATGTGAACTGGTGGGATGGGAAATAGTGTGGGAGGTATGGGGGGGAATATGTAGACGAGAGGAGCCTGGAGAACGGCCTTCGATCGTGCCCGATTAACAGAGAAGAGAGAAGTTAAGTACTGGTACTGTGCGAGTACGGCAATTATCCCATTTCTCCTCCCTCGTGCGTCCTTGCTTGTGTTTCTTCCTAGTTTTCTTATTTATTTCTTTTTATTCTCCCGGTTACATCCCTCAGTGGAAAATGTCTATGCCGCTTGCACGATCGTTATCTCATCTCGACGCGCTCCCGCGGATCTGGTGTGCGTGATGCCATTCAATGTCTTTTCTCCTGTCTCATCCTACTTGCTTCTTCACTTTTATTTTTTGCTTTATTTCTCGACGCTTTATTTTGCTTTTATTCGGCTTTATCTGGGAGGCGTTTGCTTTGTTTTGGCTTTGTTTGATCCTCAGTTCTGTTTTATTTTCCTTTGGTCTCATTTCATTTTCTTCAAGATGCATCTCCGTGGCTTTTGTATCACGCCTTGCGTTTGCAAAGGCTTTACTTGCAATCGAGCATATCGATCCATCCCTTCGACAATGAAATACGTACCTGTGGGCAATGCGATAAATTTTCATCCCACTGGATATAACGGAAGACGTATCTACAGTTGCTTCTGGAAGACGAAACGTTTGAGGGAATAAAATAAAATTGCGAGTGGGGGAGGGGATGAGTGGAGAAATGCGAGAAGTGGAGAGATGAATGGGCAGTGACCATGCGCAATTATTTAATAGTTTAATAATGTGAGAGTAGAATTAACGGTTTTTTGTTGATGAACGGAATTTAATGAATTGCAATGGAATATTTCATGATTTATCAGTCGTGAAAAAAATAGCGGTTTCATTAACAAAAATTATGAGGCTGGAGAGAAACAAAATACTGTGGAGTCTCTCAAGTGCAAAACAACTTGGAAATAAAAATGGAATGAGAGTTGGAAATTTCTGTGGGATGACATTCGTGATTTAGTAATGATTAGGGCGAAGAAAATAAAATGGATTGCGTGAGTTTTGTGATTTAGTGGGTTGAGAAATTGATGGTATCATTAATGAAAATTATTGCTTGATAGTAAAAAAATGTCTTCAAATATGTTTTTTATTTTTTTCGGGCTGACTAATCGTATGAAGATGAAATGGATTGCATCAGATATTTCAGGATTAACTTATTCTGGAACATTGAAGACTTTATTAAGAAGAATTATTATCTTGCGGTCAGAAAAAAGCATTCAGAGTGAAGAGAATCTGACAAATTAATGTAGATATTTCAAAATTTACAGAATTTCAGGTGTTCCGTCCATAAAACCTTTATATTTCAATAACGGCAAAAATTCTTTGTTAGAAGTTTTTCTTTGCAATATACTATTATCGCCATGTACATACAATATTTTATATCATTGGGCCCGAAAATCGCGGAGCGTGCGTAAAATTTCCGAAAATGAAAAATATAGTTCGACATATGCGCGACTGGGATTTTTCAGCTCGTGTAATTGGCAGCCCGCGGCTTCGCCTCGGGCCTCCAACTTCACATTCGTAAAAAACCCGTTGCGCTTGTATCGAAATATACTATTTTCAATTTCTTATTAGTGTATATCTTTAGATTTTTACAGGTGCTGTTTCTTGCCATTTTCACTTCCCGTAGCATTTTTATTACCAATGCTCGTCCTCGTTCCTCTTTCCGAGTCTCAACCATCGTTTTTTCCGAGGTGTTCCTTCATGGTCACCACTCCACTTAGTGATCATAAACTCAGCGCTGCTTAGTCTGCCCACCAACACACTACGCTAACCCCTCGGGACATTCCTTTGCAACGAGTTGTGTTGATATATGCGTCTAGATGCGGATGGTTCAGTCATGATCGAGAGGGTCGGAAAGGACTGCACTGAGGATCTTACCAAATTTTCGTGTGTAATACCACAAGAGCTTCAAAATTATCAGGTATTTACCGATAGTTTCTTTGCGAACAAACGAAGGAGCTGAGTTTTTCAAGCTAAAACATCACGAGTGATTTTTCCTGAAAAACTTAACGAATTCGTTTATATGTAGGACACCATGAGGAAAATACCTGATTCATGTTAAAGCTCAAGTGGCATTCAGAAGAGAATTTCAAACACTTTTTTGCACTCGTTACGAAATATACTATTTTGACACTACTGCTATGTTCACCTCGTTCGTTTACTCGTAAACAAAAAGACACTTTTCGGCACGATGTGAGCGTAGCAGCAATGTCAAAAAAGAAATTTCACAACGCAAAAATTCGTGTAAAATAATTCAAATTTTAAAGTTTGTCCCACGTAGCCCTCCATTACTATATGTTCACATAGTAATTATTTGATTTTATATTCTCCCCGTGTCTCCTGAAACCAACAATCTGTATGGCACATTCAAAGCTTCACCAAAAAAATCCTCACCCCACCATAAAACCCCATCCAGTTTTCCCATCAAATAAATAAACAATAAAAAGGAAGTCTTCAGAATGAGCCTGGGCCATGCAATAAATAAGGATCCTCAACGATTTAACAGAGTGCAACCGCGGGTTTCTTTAGAGGTCTGTTAAAACCCATGTTTTAGAACGGTGTAAACTCAAAACCTCCCATGGCCCAATACACATGCTTTCTGGTGACTACGTGGGTGAACGCGCGGAGATATAATAACATGTAAAATGCCGAGGATTTTTGTTTGAAATTTCTCTTCCCCCGATTTTTTTATCTCTAAAATTCTTTTTATTTTTTTCATTTTCCAGACTGAAGAATCCTGAGAATAGTGAGGAAGATGAGAGGGAAAATGAAGGGTGGGTGAGAAAGAAACGTTTGAAAAGAGGTACGAGATGGTGGAGAGCAAGGTTGTAGGTGCTTATTAAGGTCCCGCATGGGAAGATTAACGAGCAGTAATGACCGTAGCACCTACGTTCGAGCCATTCTCGATGAGGACTCGACTTTTTCCCTTTTCTCTCAGCTTCTCCTCGACTTACTAGGGGTTAGGTGCTGTATTGCCATCCACTGGTGTGTATTACCCGCTTCACTAGATAAGTTCAACTATCGACGGTGCATGCAGATGATTATTAATGAAGAGAAATTAAGATACCGTGTGATAAAGATAATTGCTTCTCTGTTGTAATGCCGTGGCAATAAAAAGACGGCTTTCTGATTAAATTAATGGGGAGGGGAGAGTTTTGAAAAGTTTATCTGTTGATTTTAGTTTATATGAGGGATGAAATTGTATTATTATCTCTATCCTATCTATAAAAGATGTAAGCTTCGTGAAGTGGTTTTATATCAACATTTGTTTTTATTCTGTCAAAAATGCATTATCAAATGCTCATAACTTCTATGCCACCTGAGGCCTCAAAGTTTACATAACATATAATAATAATAATATCATAATATACGGAAACTCCTGGACCGTTCATCCCCAATTCGGATTGATCAATGAGTCATGGGAAGTTAGTCGCTGAAGAAAATTCTTCAAACTCACAAATTATTAGTATTATTATTAGTATAGGGAACCCAAATTTCCTCAGGAATCGAATGGAATAGGTTTTAAGGCTCTATCTCTCATAGTTTCCGAGATAATCGCGAAAAACGAAAATGCCAAAAAAAATTAATTTAATTCATCTTGTATAGGGTGTAGGAAGTGGAAAAACGCAATTCTGAGCCGTCCATCTGCCTATACGGAACCCAAATTTCCTCAGGAATCGAATGGAATAGGTTTTAAGGCTCTATCTCTCATAGTTTCCGAGATAATCGCGAAAAACGAAAATGCCAAAAAAAATTAATTTAATTCATCTTGTATAGGGTGTAGGAAGTGGAAAAACGCAATTCTGAGCCGTCCATCTGCCTATACGGAACCCAAATTTCCTCAGGAATCGAATGGAATAGGTTTTAAGGCTCTATCTCTCATAGTTTCCGAGATAATCGCGAAAAACGAAAATGCCAAAAAAAATTAATTTAATTCATCTTGTATAGGGTGTAGGAAGTGGAAAAACGCAATTCTGAGCCGTCCATCTGCCTATACGGAACCCAAATTTCCTCAGGAATCGAATGGAATAGGTTTTAAGGCTCTATCTCTCATAGTTTCCGAGATAATCGCGAAAAACGAAAATGCCAAAAAAAATTAATTTAATTCATCTTGTATAGGGTGTAGGAAGTGGAAAAACGCAATTCTGAGCCGTCCATCTGCCTATACGGAACCCAAATTTCCTCAGGAATCGAATGGAATAGGTTTTAAGGCTCTATCTCTCATAGTTTCCGAGATAATCGCGAAAAACGAAAATGCCAAAAAAAATTAATTTAATTCATCTTGTATAGGGTGTAGGAAGTGGAAAAACGCAATTCTGAGCCGTCCATCTGCCTATACGGAACCCAAATTTCCTCAGGAATCGAATGGAATAGGTTTTAAGGCTCTATCTCTCATAGTTTCCGAGATAATCGCGAAAAACGAAAATGCCAAAAAAAATTAATTTAATTCATCTTGTATAGGGTGTAGGAAGTGGAAAAACGCAATTCTGAGCCGTCCATCTGCCTATACGGAACCCAAATTTCCTCAGGAATCGAATGGAATAGGTTTTAAGGCTCTATCTCTCATAGTTTCCGAGATAATCGCGAAAAACGAAAATGCCAAAAAAAATTAATTTAATTCATCTTGTATAGGGTGTAGGAAGTGGAAAAACGCAATTCTGAGCCGTCCATCTGCCTATACGGAACCCAAATTTCCTCAGGAATCGAATGGAATAGGTTTTAAGGCTCTATCTCTCATA